GCAGTGCCCTACTTGATGCCACCTCCTCAGGGGCAGCCGAGATCGGCCTCCTTGGCCGGTCAACCGTTCCAGCCATGGGAAGGTCCCACCAAGAGCCACTTGGTTAATTTTGCCTACTAAAATAATCCAAGGAGGTTGGCTGAGCCACAGAGACCTTGAGCCCGAAGAGCTGATTAGACTACTAAAAAGCCCTCTGCTTATTTTGATCCATTTCCAGGAATGACGGATGTAATAGAGACAATCCTGCCCTCCGAATATGAAGACGTTAAAAGCCAAATCCTGTCCCAACGGATTAAAATTATCCTTGTTCTGTCACGGCCTGTCAGGTTCTAGTCCAAAATTAGCAGGGTTGAGGCCATAAAGACTCCAGGAGAAAGAAACCACATTTTGGTCAAGATGTTATGTAACGAAAGGATGCCAAGAAAAAAAATGAAATGAAACGAAACAAAAGGCTTCTCTCCACTCTTCCACCAGATTGTTCAAAAGAGTTTGCTTTTTAAATGCCTTCAAAGGAAGAGAGAGTGTCAGTGAAATTCATCTGGAGGAAGTGTGAAGTTTCTGTACTTATTTAGTAGCAATTTGGCCAGGGAAATAGAAGTGCTTGTTCTTCTGTAGATTGTCTCTGGTTTTCCTGGGGGCTGAATAGAAGCGGGGAAGAGGCAGAAAAAGAAGTTGCAGGTCGCTGGAGAGATCCTTCCTTTCCTTCCTTCCTTGATTTCAGCATCCTTCTTTCCTTCACTTCAGTATTGTCCCTCCCTCCCTTCTCTCCTCCTTCCCTCCCTCTCCTTCCTTCCTTCCACCCACCCACCCTTCCTGATTCCTTCCTTTTCTATCTGATAGAGTGGTATGGGTACCTCACTTGATCTTGATTGCAACAGAGGGATACAACCGAGATCAAGTGAGATACTAATACCACTCTATAAAGCCTGAGTAAGACCACAGCTAGAGTACTGCATCCAGTTTTGGTCACCACGCTATAAAAAGGATGTTGAGACTCTAGAAAGAGTACAGAGAAGAGCAACCAGGATGATTAGGGGCCTGGAGGCTAAAACATACAACGAATGGTTGCAGGAACTGGTCCTGGCTAGTCTAGAGAAGAGAAGGACCAGGGGAGACAGGAGAGCAGTCTTCCAGTATTTGAGGGGCTGCCATAGAGAGAAGAGGGGGGGGGGGTCAAGCTATTTCCCAAAGCACCTGAAGGCCAGACAAGGAACAAAGGATGGGAACTGAACAAGGAGAGATTCAACCTGGAAATAAGGAGAAACTTTCTAACAGTGAGAACAAGCAGCCAATGGAACAGAAGTTGCCCTGGGAAGTTGTGGGAGCGTCATCGCTTGAGACTTTCAAGAAGAGATTGGACTGCTATTTGTCAGAAATGGTGTAGGTTCTCCCGCTCGGGTGGGGGGTTGGACTAGATGACCTATAAGGTCCCTTAGTGCAGTAGCATTGCCAGAAACCCTGCCATGCCTATTTATTTATCTGATCTTGAAAGGGGTGCCCTCACGGATGACTACTTGAAAGTAGAAGCTGTGTCCCATAGCTACGGTTTTGGGTTTGTATGGACTGGGAATTCAGCGATGGCGTCATGATTCCAATTTCCCCAGAGTTGCATGTAGGTAAGGAAGTAGATGGGTAGGAAGGAAGGAAGGGAAAAAAGAAAGAAGGAGAGAGGGAGGAAATGTAACCTTGAAAGCATTTCCCAAACATTCCTGTCTGTTTTTAACACAACCAGAGTAAGATGGTCTCCTTTTCACATTTTCCAAGGCCCGAGCAAACGTTTTATCACTCTCATCTCTAACCCTCTTAAGAGGCTAAAAAGGGTGGGGGGGGAGAAATATCGTACCAATTTCCACTTGGTCTGTCATCCAAGAAGTAGACAGCTTGGTTTAGCTTTGTCCAGTCTGGCCAAGGTCAGAGAGAGGCTGCAGTCTGACAACACAAAACAGAAGCTTTTACACTACATTACTACGACCATTACATTCCGAATCTCCAGAAACAGAATTTAGAATTTTGTTTCAAATCGCCTAAATGCAAGACAAGAAACTTGGGTGGAAACTCATCAAGGAGAGAAGAAACCTAGAACTAAGAAGGAATTTCCTGACAGGGAGAACAATTAAGTCAGTGGAAGGGCTTGCCCCCTGTCCCAACTGTCGTAAGTACATGCCAGTTGCCAAGCCTCTGAATTTTGATCACGTGACCATGACGACACTACAAAGGGGCCCCAAGTCACTTTTCCTAGTGCTGTTCGAATGGTGACTAAATGAATGGCTGTAAGTCAAGGACTACCTGTTGTTCACCCTCCGGTTGGATAACAATACTTTTGTCAACTTTGATTCATTCTGGAAAAAAAAAAAACTTAGTTGGCTAAGGCCCAAATAGGAGACCACTAGACAATGTATAAAAAAAATAGAAGAAAACCATTCCAAATTGTTTTTGTATTGCTGAGAAAACTTTGGAGGCAGATTCATGAAACCAGGAGGGTTTGGAACTACCTCCCAAAAAATACTTTTCCTCCTCCTCCAATTTTTATCCTTATCCTAGTAATAATCCTAAGAGCTGCCAAGAAACGGGATCCGCTATGGATTTAGCCAGGTTTGTCTCTGTAACCTGGATCAGACTCTGGTTCGGTTCAGGGCAATTGCCACCCACCTGGCTGCGTTCAACTGCAACCCACCTGGCTGCAGTTCCCAAGGCCTAACGCCCCTTGCTTTCACTCCGGGAGTTATTTCACGCCAGGGCTTCCCACGACCTCTGAACACGCGTCCAGACGGCCAAACAGCCTCGAAGGCGATCCTACCAAGCTTGCGCCGGAGAAGCTGAACCGATCCCGGGTCCCGAGGATGCGAAGGCACGGCCGGGAGCCAAACGAGACATTCCCTCCCCTTTCTCACAAACTAGCTTTTCCCAGCCCCCCACTTGGACCCGAGGTGACTTTATTCCACCAACCACGGTTGAAACAAGCACCCAGCACTCATTCAGCTACCCTTCGGGGCGTGGGGGGGAGGCTAAAAAAACCCAGCCCTTCCCCCCCTTCCCCTCCTCCCTCCCCAGCCACCTTCCCCATTTCCCGTCGATGCGCTTTTGCGCGTCATTCTTCTTGGCAAAGGCGAGGCGAAGACGCGCCGCTCGGATGACGACGGGAGTGGGGAGCAGAGGCAGGCAGCCTAATTTTGCCTGGAGGAAGGTGTGGGGGGGGGGCAAAGGAGGCCACGTGGAGCTGGAGACCGGGGGGAAGGAGGACCCTAAAGAGCCGGTCCGCGCAGGCTCCCACAAGGATAAGGCCCCCTTAGCTCCCACCTCCAACAAAAGGGGGAATCCCGAACCTCTCCAAGCGCGCTTTGGCTACTGAGTCACCTTGCGGGCGCCGGTTGGAGAAGCCGATGCTGCGGGATAGGCTCCGGGAAGGTGATGGGGGCGGGCGCCGGGAAGAAGGGAGGGGAGGAAGGACGAGACCCGCCCTCTGCCAGCTCCTTGAAAGGGGCGCGTGGGTGGGTGGGCGAGGCCAGGCTGGCGCTTGGGATCAGATTCCTCCCGAATGTGCCATGGCCAAACGGGTTCCGGGTTCAAGGAAGCCTATTGGCGGCATCCTTTTAGTGAACGTGGGGATTCTCAAATCATCCAGATCATGGTTGCCTCAAGGGTTTTTATTTTTTTTTCCAAGAGTTTTTTGGCTTTTCCAAAAAAAACACCTTCTCATCCCAAGAAGCTTCCTCAGATCATATAAGTAATCCTTCCATTCTTCCCCCAGTCAGAACTGAAGAAGCTTCTTGGACGAGAAGCGTAAAGTCTTCCAGGGAAAACCAAAAGTCCAGTGGCCTCTTGAAAAAAGCACCATTGGGACAGCATTCCCCTCGGCACCCTGTTCTTGGATCGCTGCAGCGGGGCTAGGCTCGTCCCGGTGGGTTTTTATTTTAAATTAATAGCTGGTCAAAACCTTTCCTTAGCGGGTTCTTTCCCTGCCAGGTGTGACTCTAGTATTAGCTCGTTCTCCGCCTGGGGTTACTTAAGAAGGGAAATGAAATCAATAAAAGAAATAAAATTTGCAAGGAAGAGAGAGCCCGCTTGGGAAACGCTGCAAGGGGGTTTTCTCGCAAGGGTTCTTGTAGAAAAGAGACGTCGGTGGCCTCCAGCGGGCCTTGCGTGATGCGAAATGGAGGACGTGACGGGATAGCAAGAATCCAAATGGGGGAATCAATGCTTCACCCTAGGGCTGAGTTAACCAGTTCTGGTTAACCACATCTGCCCCTGTGCAATTGGCAAACCATACAGAGGTGCAGTAAGTTAATATTATCTTGTAAGCAATTGACAAATCAGATCAAATCAATAAGGCAGCTATCATGTCACCGCTAGCATTTCTCATTGTTAATACTAGATATACCTAGTTCACCCAACCGTTCGTTTCATGTTTTAGCATCCAATTTCCCGAATCTATTTCTAAAACTTTTAAGCCTGCTCTCCAGTTTTTTTTTTATTCTTGGCAGTTATGCAGTCATCAAACGTACAACAGCTCCTTTTATAGTGTCCATTCAAAGTTACATCAGTGAGAAATAAGTGACTTATGACCAAGTTTCACCCTTACGACCACTGCAGCATTCCCCCAAAGCCATGTGATCAAAATTCGTAAGCTTGGCAACTAGGCTCATATTTATAATGGTCACTGTGTTCCGGGATCCCCTTTTGCAACCTTGTGATGAAGTCAACGAGGGCGCCAGATTCACCAGACAACTTAGTAACTTAATAGCAGTGATTTACTTAACAAATGTCTCACTTAATAATTTATAATAATTTAAATTTGGGGGGGGGGTCAATTGCGGTTGTAACTACTTGTACGCAATTTTAATCAAACCTCCTGAGATCACATCACATTTCTCTTCTTTCGAATAACCCACAATACCAGAAATAGTAAGTATTTCTGCCTAGGAAGAAAGAAAAAGGACCCCCCAGGCTTCCCAACCTCCAAGCAAAAGGGGGGATTCAAGTATCAGAGGCCAAACGTGCTTCGTTATGAATTCTTTAATTTATACACCTGTTCCACAGCAGGAAAAATCACATTATAGAGAAATTAAAACCCTCAATTGGTATTAGCCCCATCACAGAAATACTGTTATTTTATATATATATATATGTATTTTTTTTAAAAAAGGGAAAAAGGACCAAACCCACCCACCCCAAGATCCTAAATTAAATGTCCTCGTTAAAAAACCCCAAATGTACTTTGAAAAGAAATGGGGAGGTTTTGAGGTCTTAAAAGAGGGTCGTGTGTGTTTACCCTCCCTTGGAGTGAAATGGGCAAGAGAGGAAGAGAAACAATAAACCTTTATTATTCCCAAATGGACCAAGAAAATTTTCCCTAGGACCGAACGGGTCCTTCTTGCTGTTTAATAAGAGTTTTCTTGGATTAAAACTTTTTTAAGGTGCGATAACGCAAATCTTCAGGAATGGAGTAGAAAAAATGCATGAAGAACCCACTGGGAGGAAAAATAATAATAACAATAATAATGCAAAAGAGGCGCTGCATATGAAACCTGCCGTGGGAAGGAAACTTGAAAAATGGAGAGGAAAAAAAAAATCTCCATCTTAAAAGTCTTTCCAAGTGGACTTCAACTCCCAGAATTCCACCCCTCTGGTTGGGGAATCTTGGGAGTCCACCCATTGTAAAACCGCCCCCAAGTTGATAAAAAAAAAATTCCTCTGTTCAGGTGTGACTCCCGATCCCATCTCAATAATAAGTCAAAACTTTGGCTTGGAAAGTCCTGGAACCCGCCTTGTTCCAGCGAGGAACGGATTAGGAGAAGCCGATGGGTTATAGGTAATAGCAACAGCACTTAGACTTATATACCGCTTTATAGTGCTTTACAGCCCTCTCTTTCTTCTGGAATTTTGGATCACCGATGAAAAAGTCGGAGAGGAAGATTTGACTTCTCCCAGACCCCAAACCAGAGTCTCCCACATCCTGACATCCACGCAACTCACTGAGACTTCCCGCCCTGAACCCAGGATATTTTGGCCTGTTTCCAAAATGAAGGAATGCCCACATTGGGGGAAAGGGGGGAAATACACCCCCCCCCCCAAAAAACCTCTGGCACCTGGTCTTGGCAGGGACAGGAAAGTCGCTGGCTTGGTTAGTGATTTCCATCTCAGTTTTGTCCTGCTTGCTTAGGGGAAAAGCAAGAGGGTGGGTGAGTGGGAGAGAGAGGGAGCGAGTTGCAATTTCCTTCCCTTAAACCAGGTTGCATCGTGAAAATGCTGCAATGCACCAAAACTCTTTTGCAGGCACGTTCTCCCGGGGAAGGTTGGTGATATTGCGGAATGGAAGGGCTGAGAGGGAGCAAATAGACAACTTTTTTTGGGGGGGGGGGGGGGGGAGGAGAGGAAAGGGGTGTCAGGTACAAGAGCCGGAGAACAATTACTATTAGGGGTTCCCAGAGGCCCGCTGGAAGGACACGGTGTACATTTATTCAAAGGCTAAGCGGGAGTTTTACCTTCTCGAGGCAAACCATTTGGGGACTGCTCGGCCTGCAAAGACATTCCCAATTCCCCCTCCCCCCCCAAAAAATAATATTGTCACTAATGGAGGGTTAACAGGGTGTCTGAAACCCACTTCGGTGCACCCAGTGCAAAAGGAACTGGGACTTTGGCCGTGCAGGTAATACCGCCAAGATCCAGTTCAAATCCAGACCAAGGCGCGGGATTCCCTTCAGCTTTTAACAACGCACATTTTGTGGCATAATTACATCCTATACAAGGTATGCATTCTGGACACTTCTCGGGGTGTGCTACGTGAGCCAGCGAGCCAGGGAGGGCGCCTTGCAGATTTACAGTTACGCAAAAGAGAAGGCTGCCACCTGAAATTTATTCCCGACTGTTGTGGTTGTTTGAGGAGTCTATCAGTCCCCCACAGACGACGTTACCAGGTGCCAGTTCCAGCCACAGCCCAAGAGAGATACAAGAACTAGGGGAAGGATCAGCAGTGGAGAGTAATAAGAAGAGTTAGCCGTAGATCTGAAGGAGGAGAAAAGTTAGCTGTAGAGCTTAGCAAGAAAATTTAGCTGTAGAGCTTAACAAGAACATTTAGCTATAGAGCTTAACAAGAGGAGTTAGCTATAGAGCTTAACAAAGGAAAGGCTCAGCTATAGGGCTTAGAAGACTCAGCCATAGAGTTTAACAAGGAGAAGGCTCAGCTATAGAGCTTAAGAACTAAAAGCCACATGATTTAACAAGTTAGCTATAGCGCTTAACAAAAGAGGATTAGCTATAGTGCTTGAGGAGAATGGTTAGCTATAGAATGGAACAAGAAACATTAGCCATAGTGGTTTAGCTATAGAGCTTAACACGAAAATTTAACAATAGAATTTAACACAGAGAAAGGATTAGCAATAGACCTTAATGTGTTAAGCAATAGAGCTTAACTTGGAACGAAAGCTTAACAAGAAAGGTTAGCGATAAATCTTAAATAATATCCTTCCCCATGGCTAGATCCTAGATCTCTGGGATACACAGTCAGCAGTAGCTTCACTCAGTTGCTGGGATCAGAAAAGATCCAACTCAGGTCTACCTTCTTGCTAAGAGCTGTAAAACCACTCTGCTTTCCAGCCAACATTCATCTCCTCTAGAAAGTAAAATGGCTCTCTTAAGCTTGCGGTAGCTCCTCCTCATCTTCTGTGACCTCCAAGCAGTTGCAACCTCACAGCAATATCTAGGTTTGGAGAACCAACCATCCAAAATCTCCACGGTGGGCTGTCGGAACCATCAACTGAACCAGCCCCCTCACCACAAAAAAGAGAACACAACACACCTTCAGAATTTGCCATCTTGAGCAGGTCTGCTTAATTTATCAGAAGACACGGCCAGGGGGCTTCCCAAATGCCTTATGGCTGACAGTTCGGTTCACACAGCAAACCAAGAGAGAAGGCACTCGGTTTGGGCTTAACCATGACGGGTTTTAAACCACGATTTGTGGGTGGGGTTTCTCTTGCATTTTCCAAGACTGGGAATTGAGAGTCCAAAATATGCCACAGTTTTAGAGAGCATGAAGAGGAATTTCAGAGATTGGTAAATTATGCAGCTCTTGTTTTAAGAGTTTTATAATGCCATTTTCTTCCCATGGATTACAAACCCTTCCCTGCTTTGTAACGAAGAGAAACGGAAAGAAATAATAATAATAATAATAATTTACTATTTAAACTTTTGCGCTCTTGCCTACGTTCCCGCCAAACGAGTGAAGGTGTTCACCCGGGCTGCGGAAATGGACCGAAGCAGCAATTTCAAAAATTAAACCCAGCTTCCGATTCGGCGGGGTGAGAACCAGAACGTCTCCCTCGCCCTCCGCTCCAATCAAAGCTGAAAGAAGCCAAAAGAAAAAGAAAATAAAAAAAAAAGATAGAAAAACCCAAGGGGAAAAAAAGGACCCAACGCCAGCACGGAGCACCCAAGCCAGCCACCAAAGGACACAAACACAATCTGTCTTTCCAGTCACTTCCCAAGCAGTTCACCCTATTTTTTACAGTTTGGAAAGCGGAGCGGATTGCTACCCTCCTAGGCGCACCTCTCTTGATCGCGTTTCAAAGTCGCCACATCCCCATCCGGAAATCCAGCGGAGCTCATGTTCCGAATAGCACGCGAGAGATTTTTTTGGGGGGGAGGGGAGGCGGGGGAGAGGGAGGGACACAGAGAATGGGGATGGAGGAGGAAGAGGGAGCGGGAGGGAGAAGGAAAGAGGGAGAGGATGGAGACAGAGGAGAGAGAGGAGGAAGAGGGGGAGAGAGAGGGAGGGAGGGAGAGGGAGAAGGAAAGAGAAAGAGGGAGAGGATGGAGACAGAGAAGAAAGAGAGGAGGAGGAAGAGGGGGGGAGAGAGAGACAGGGATATGGAGGGAGAGGGAGGGAGAGGGGAGGAGAGAGGGAGAGGACGGAGACCGAAATGCAGAGAGAAGGATGCAGTGGGAAGGAGGAGAGGGAGAAGGAAAAGGATGGAGACCGAAACGGAGAGATGGAGGGAAGGAGGGAGAGGGAGGGAAGGAGAAGGAAAGAAAGGGAGGAGGAAAGAGAGAAGGGGGAGTAAAAAAATAAAAAGGAAGCCGCCACCACTATCTGTCCTTCAACCCTTCTCTCTCAGGCACCAGAAGAAAAGCCCAATCCTTAAGACAGAGGAACAAAAACCGTGTTTTAGATTCTCTTTTTTCCTGGCTGTATTTTTATCCTTCTCTCCACCCACCGTCGCCCAAGCCCAACGTGTGTGTGTGTGTGTGTGTGTGTGTGTGTGTGTGTGGTTTTTTTTACTCCTCTTTTTACACTGAGAAGGTCGTCTCTTTGCTTCTGTGCCATCGAGGGAAGGAAGCCAAGGATCAATAAATTACAGTTCTCTGGAAAAAAGTGCTGCCTTGTCTTAAGTGGGGTGTGGAGAAGAAGAGAGGGAGAGGTGTGTGCTGAGGAGGAAAGGAGAGGAGGAGGAGGAGGAGGAGGCAGCCAAGTCCATCACGCTGCGCTTTCTCTCTCGCCGTGGGGCTCCGCTGAGCCGTTGGCTGTTTTCTTGACTTTCTTCATACCCTCCATCACGCCCGAGGTGGTCACCCTGGGAAGGGCAAAAAATAAAAATAAAATAAAAATAAGGGTTTTTATTGATTCAGGGACGAGGGGGATGCTTCCGCCGTGGTGTCCAGCAGAGCCTGGGGGACGGAAGCTGGCCGCACAGAGATCAGTTCAGACCTTAGCAGAGGTGTGTGAGCTGTGGCTGCAGGCTGCATGGCGGGAGGGGAGAGAAGAAAGAGGAAGGGGTGGCGCTTGATGAAGGAGAAGGAAAAGAGACGATGAGAGAATAGAATAACACGGAGTTGGGAGGGACCTTCGAGGTCTTCTAGTCCAACCCCCTGATCAAGCCGGATATAACCATTTCAGACAAACGGCTGTCCAGCCTCTTCTGGAAATTTTCCAGTGTTGGGAGTATTCACAACTTCTGGAGGGAAGTCATTCCGCTGGTTGTTTTTTTTCACAGTCAGGAAATTTCTCTTTAGTTCTAGGTCGCTCCTCTTCTTGCTTAATTTCCATCCGTTGCTTCTTGTCCTGCCCTCAGGTGCTTTGGGGAATAGCTTGACTCCCTCTTCTTTGGGGCAGCCCCTGAGAGGTTACAACACTGCTATCATGTCTCCTCTAGTCCTTCTTTTCATTAAACTAAAAATACCCAATTCCAGCAACCGTCCTTCGTATGTTTCATCCTCCAGTCCCCTAATCCTCTTCGTTGCTCCTCTCTGCACTTTTTCTAGAGTCTCAACATCTTTTTTACACTCATGGCGACCAAAAGTTGTTTGCCATGAACCAGGGTGTTCAAACCAGGGTATGATTACGTCTGCAGTCTGGCATTTTCGATCAGGAAGTCCCCTTTGGCTGAGTTTTCAGCATCACACCATGAGGCCTAACCTCTTCGGCTCGTTCTCGCTCCCTTCCTCGTCAGCATTTCATCTCTCTCTGCTGCCACAAAATTCACATCTCCTTGGTCATAAAGCATCCGAAGGTGGGCTCAAAGGAGAACCACCACCCCCCCCCCCAAATAAAATAATACCAATAAAATAATACCAGCAGTGCCAGCTGATTTTGACAGAGAGCTTGTTCGTGAATGTGACACTCTTATTTTTTTTTTCTCTTCCTTGCCTACTTCCGTAATATTTAGCCTCGAGATCCTTCCGTCATCTTCGTAGCTCTTTCCCTGGATTCTCTTGGGCATCTCCAAGAAAAGTCTGCGCAGATATTTCTCAGGGTTGGCTGTTTCACTTGGCTTCCTGCCCTAAACGGGAGACTGGGCTGCCTCAACCCTCATTTGCAACTCTGATATAAATGATCAGTCGTTTTGTGCGTCTGCCAAAACGTTGGGTTTTTTTTAAAAAAAAAAAAACATAGCCTGCAGCATTTTAAGGCGATGCGCATATTCAAAGGGGGAAAATATGGCACTCGGATCCTTTAAATGTAAATAAAAACCCCAGACAAACTGCATTATGAGCTCCCAATGATTATCCTTGTGGTGTAGTTGCTTTTTAAGATCACTTTTTTTTTTTCTTCAGTTTCTGGGGAAAAGGAACGGTGAGTCCTACGGAAAAATCCTTGAATTCCCAGCTTCCTTTTTTAAGGGCTTGAGGGTTTTATTCTCCCAACAGACAAATTCATAGCACCCAGTTTACCTCTATTTTAAAAATGATTTAATCAACCACACGGTCTTGGAGAGCTTGTAGAAGGATGCAAAAACTGGGAAGTCGAACCAGGGAGATGTCCGCTACTGTCTCGTTCAATGGATTAAATCTACCTGCCTCTCTCGCAAAGTGTTATTGTTCACGAACAAAGTCTCTCTTAAAATCAGCAGGCACCCCTGGCATTATTTTATTGGTATTGTTTTATTCAGGATGGTCGTTCTCCTCTGAGCCCACCTTTGGATGCTTTATGACCAAGGAGATGTGAATTTTGTGGCAGCAGAGAGAGCTGAAATGCTGGCGAGGAAGGGAGCAAGAACGAGCTGAAGAGGTTAGGCCTCATGGTGTGATGCTGAAAACTCAGCCAAAGGGATTTCCTGATGGATAATGCCAGACTCGACACGGAATCGTTTTCCAACACCCTGGTTTGTTCAATTCTGGTTCATCACGATACAAAAAAGATGTTGGAACCCTAGAAAGGGTGTAGAGAAGAGCAACAGAGATGATTAGGAGACTGGGGGATAAAATATATCATGAAGAATTGAGGAAACAAGGTA